CTTCAGGCGGGGATCTTGCAAACACTCCATCGGTGGCTCTTCTTTCTTGGCCATGGGACTTCTGAAATGACTCGCTTCTCCCCAGCAGAGTGGCAAAACGGACCAATCCCTGATAGTCACAAGTTTCAAACTACCAGTCACTCTGTGGAGAGAGATGGGGTTTTCTACTCCCATAAAGTGTTACAGTCTTAAAAACCCACAGGGACAGTTCTATCCTGTCCTATAGAGTTGCTATGAGTTGGAATCAACTCAGTGGCAGTGAGAGGTACAGACAGATGAGAGACAGGGACAGACAGACCTTATTTGGATACTGGGTAGAAGAGTATGTGTAGAAGAGTCATAGTAACCAATTTCACTTCACCACAGCTGCAGACAAATTCTGTATTACACACATCTTCATTTCATTGGGGGGGGGGGCTTTAAAAATATATGGCTCAATCAAAATAGTGGCTTCAGAGTGGATCTGCTGGGGCAATTAAATTCAAGTCAGAGAGGTCAGAGATTATGGCTGTTTTCTGGATCCCAAAGAAACAATCTTGATAGATTTTACTAGGAGAATCATGAAGACTCTTTAGGAAGACATTTTAAGAAAATGGGAAACTGCCTAAATAAGAAAAAGGCCAGGAAAGTTGTGTGGAGGAATTTTTTCCCCTCCTGACCACGCGCCTGCTCATTCTTCAAGGAGAGCGAGGGCTGTGCTATGACATTTCATTGGAATGAAACTACCAGTCACTCCGTGTAGAGATCACTCTACAGCCCTGATCGCTCCCTCTCTTAATTTCTCTTTGTTCCCCAAATTCAACAGACATGTAAGAGCAACACAGGCTGGATCCCTCAAGGATGTCAAAACTGCTGATTTGATGTGACATTACGTCAAAGAGTGAAAAGATTCTTCTGGGAAGGGCTAGAGATAGGAAAATGCTGCCTTCGGATGGGTATAGACCTACATGGAGGATATGTTGAGAAATCATAGCTTCCCATTTAGACGCTTTGTTTCATAAAGGTTTCTATGATTCTGTAGCAGTTCTTTTTGACTTGCTCCCGTATAGTATCTGAGTTAGTTAATTGTGCCAGCCTGGCCGATAATCACATGTGGTGCTGGTTGAAAGGTGGAGGGATAAATGGGTGGTGAAGCCTCGCCTTTCGAGTTCTCGGGTCTCTTGTTTTGTGATGGTTGCATCGGGTGCAGCTGCCTTAGCAGTTCCCTGCTTCAGCTTGCAAGATTGACTTTCCTACAAGACATCCCCAAGGAGAAGCCGCATGGATCTATCCCGATGCAGCCCTGGGTGCTGGAGCAGCCGTGTGGAGACCCTTGCCAGTGCTGAGATGCTTACACGTTCACAGACTCAGCTTTCCTCCTGCAGTCGGCATCATTGCCTCTGTTTTGTGAGGTGGAGGACTTTGTGGACTGGTGTTGGGTAAATGGGTTAATGTTGGACTTGTGGGCTTGGGCAGCATTGGGTTGGGATGTTTTCGTGATGCACCTTTTCTTTACATAAATCTCTCTTATACATGAGTCGCTGTGGATTTGTTTCTCCAAAGTACCTAGACTAATACAGTATCCGTGTAACTTGGATTATGCAAACTCTGTACTTGTATCTCATGATTATTGGATTCCCTTTCCTAGGCAGCCCTTTGGAATGACGACTCAGAATCTCTCCTCAGCCTCTAGACTCTGGAGCTGTAGAGTTTGTTTGGGATAATGATGCAAAGCAGGCCCTAAAATGACCGTGTTGGGCATGCGGGAAAGATGTTTACAGAGAGAGAATGACGAGACTGAAATGGAAAGAGAGGGTGCAGGAGACCATGAGGAAATGGAGCAACAGAGCCTCGTTTTGTGTTCTGATTGTTATTGCTGGGGAAAGTAGCCTCTGAAAATTGAGCACCATGAAACAGCTTTTTTTGTTTGTTATTACCCATGGAGTCTGTGGATCAGGCATTTGAACAGAACAGGGGTGGAGGGTGTTTTATATGTGCTCCATATTGTCTGTACCTCCATTAGTGGGAGAAGACTGATTGGGGCCCACGCCTATCTGCTGGGTCATTAACTCATATATGTGGCATTTGTGCAGGGAAGGCTGGCGGACTAGGACTGATAGCGAGATCACCTATTCTGAGGGTCTTCCTGTGGCTTAGCCTTCCACCGCACAGCAGCCTCAAATTAGTTGGGCGTTTTACACTGGGGTCCGAGTGCAAGTGCTCCGGGAAACAAGGTGGAAGCTGCATGGCCTTTTGGGGCCTCACCTCGGAACTCACATAGGGTCACTTTCACTAGGCCCTACTGGTCAAAGCAGTGATAAGCAGCCATTCAAAGTCATGGTCCAGTAGATATTAGTCAACTCCTAATTGACTAAGGAGTTAATTAAAGACATGCTTTAACACTTAAGAAAGTCTTGATTATCTACTTCCCCCAAATCAGCCATTAGAAACCCTACGGCAGTGGGTCTCAGCCTTCCTAATACTGCGACCCTTTAATACAGTTCCTCATGTGGTGGTGACTCCAACCATAGTTATTTTCGTTGCTACTTCATCACTGTAATTTTGCTACTGTTATGAATCAGGCGACCCCTGTGAGAGGGTCGTTCGACTCCCAAAAGGGTTACGACCCACAGGTCGAGAACCACTGCCCTAGGGGCAACAATTCTACTCTGTCCCTGGTGGGTTCGCCATGAGTCAGTCAACTCAAGGGTTCCTGGTTTGGGTTTAACTGGTGACCGTTGTCACTCCTGCTTTCCTCCTTAGAGTGCCAGTGTTCTTGAAACCTGGCCTCCTGCCCATGAGATCACTAGGTAGACATGTATCCTTTCTGTCCTTCTTTGCTTGAGCTCTTTTGGGTGTTGTTTTCAAATAAAGGATCCCTGTCCAAGACAGAGGCTATACTCAAGTTGAGAGAAAAGTGCGACTCATATGTCCAAGGGGGAGCCTGTGACCACAGTAAAACTGTGCGCAGTTGCTGCCAGCTCTCCAGGGGCCACCAAGGGGGCCAGGACTTCTTGGAGGAGTTGGGCCTTAAAATAGTTCTTCTTAGAGGAAACCCAACCGGAAGTACAGACCACATCCTGGCATAACCGCTGCCCTAAGGCAGACTCCAACAAAATCCAGCATTGGCAAGGCCACAAAAATATTTACTGGCTTGCAAACAGGACTTAGTGAAAATTGGATTTGGGCTGACTGAATTTTCTGAATCTGACCACTATCTAATGAAAAATGAGAGCTTTATCTCCTGGAAGCGCTTTAGATAGGCTCTTTATGGGAAAATAGACTCTACTGGCTTATTTAGATTCACAATAGCCGCAAAGTATACACCAACTTTTCTTCCTTTTTCAGACTTGGCATGGTGGGCTATGCATTTAGCTGCTCACCAACCTGTTAGCCCCAAGATCAGTGGTTCAAATCCACCAACAACTCCACAGGAGAGAGATGAGGTTGACTCTTCATTTAAAGATTTAGGGTCTCAGAAACAAAAAGGACTGTCGGACTCTATCCCTCTAGGATCGCTTTGAGTCACAATCAACTCAGTGGCAGCAAGTGAAAGGGTCAGAAATATTTCTATAAACAGCTCTACTTGCTAGACACATTTGCCCTTCCAACTTCAAAACAACCCCTCGAACCCATCGTAAAGGAGTCGGTTCCAGCTCACCGTGACCCTGTGGTGGTGCTGACCCCAACATGGAATCCACTGCACTACCGGGGATCCTTTCTTTCAGCCGAAGTTGTCAAATTTTATCGCCCAAAGAATTTGCTCCTCATTCCTCGCCAAGTGCCTGGACATTAAGGTAATTTACTGTACGCCCGCGCTCGTTCAAACCTGATAGGGGGCGGGACTGAAGCTGTTAGAAACCAGAACACTGCCACCTAGCTCCTCTACTCTCTCATGCCAACGCTGGCTTTAAGATGATCTCTGCAGAGTTCCCGGATCCTCTTGTAATTCAACAATTGAAATCGCGGGTTTTCCCATATGGGGATGTGCATGCGGGATCTTAGAATGCAATTTAAATGGCCTAAATCCCTGAGTGATCCAGCCTCTGCCTACTTCTGGACCTGCCCTAGCACCACTCTCACCATGCTGAGCACTCCCAATGCACTGGCCTTCCTTCTGCAGTTTGACTCGGCCAAGTTCATTCCCACCTGAGGGCCTTTGTATGTGCTGCTTCCTCCCTGCAGTGCTGCTCTCCATTTGTGGTGGGCCCAAATGTTCTCTCCTCAGAGGCTTCCAGACTACCTTTGCCAATGCTACGAATCTCTCTAGTTACTCTTGATCACATTACTCTGTCTCAACTAGGTTGGAAAGTACTTTCGTTGTCTGGCTTGGCTTGTTTGTTGGTGTTTTTTTTTCTCTCTCTCTCTTAGCATGGCCATTGTTGACTGTTCGTCTAGTCCTCATTTCCTTGTCTACCTTCCCAATAGATGGTTTTGCTCAGACCTCCTTCCCTCCCCATTGCAGCCTATGTGCCTTGCGAGAGGTAACCGCTTGCCCCTACCCCTAGGTTACCACAGTGCACCATCCTTGTCAATGGTGTGAGACCCAGGCTAGAGGCAATTGTGTGCGGCCTGCCTCAGTGATTGCTACTTCTCTGGGGCTTTTCCTAGGCAATGTGAAAAAAAGAGAGTTTTGGGTTCTTTCAATTTGTATGATTGGAAAGATTCTTCTCTCGTTTTATTTTGTTTAACAGTTTTATTGACCCGTAATTCATATATTATACAATTCAATGTTTAAATATATTTAAGAGCTGTACAGTCATCAGCACACTCAATTTTAGTTTTTTTCCATTCTCATACTCATCATTATTAGCTCCCCATTTCCTCCCAACCTCCCCTGCATGGCCCTAAGAAACTATTAATCCAATAACTGTCTCTCATAGATTTACCTATCCTGGATTTAATGTCAAGAAAATTATGCAAAATAAAAAACCAACATCAAAACAAAACCACAGAAAACCCTCAGTCCAAAAGAAAGCAGAAAAAATAAAAACTAGAACAAATTTAGAATGGGTCAAAAGAGAGAACAAATCATAAGGTGTTCATTTTTAACCTAACTACATCTGCATGAAGCCACTTGCCACTGCCCGGTGTCTGAGAGTAACGCTATTCACATGTCCGGTCCACAGTCAGAGGAAATCGACTGGAGGCTTAAGCCATGTGGGTCCTCTGCAATTGGATTTTGGGCTGTCACTGTCTGTCATCCAAGGCCTTCTGAAAATTGGGTGCTCAGAATTTAAGCTTGAATACAATCCCGTCCTTTTGCCTTGGATTTTATTATTTACAAGGCAAGATTCTTTTTGACTGAATAAAAGGGAATATGTTGTCACGGTTGCTGCCAAAAGCCGTCTTTCGATATGACGAAACAAGCATAAGGAAAGAGCCTATTCGCAAAAATGGCTGAGCCAAGAGGAACAGAGTTGCAGTCGGAGTTGAAATACACCTGTAATTTTTCCTATTTCTTAACTTCCTGTTTGTGAGAAGACACTGTTAAGGGTTCAGCAGGTTTGAGGCAGCCGTCTCTGCAGCCAAAAGCCCCCTCCTGGGTCTTTCCATGAGCAGACAACTCGTCTGACTTGCTTGCTGAGGTAGGTAGATTCCGCATCTGCCCGCCTCACAGTGGGTACACAGTACACAGTACTTGTCTGTTGACTGAAAAATAAAGACTTTTGAATCATGAGAACCAACATGGAAAGTGTTTAAGAGGGGTCATCCATCACTTCCATAAGCAACTTAACTCCCCGCCCCCAGACTTTAGATTGTATTTATTTCTTTAAAATCATTTTTATTGGGGGGCCCTTACAGCTCTTTTAACATTCCATACATCAATTGTACCAAGCATATTTGTACATATGTTGTTGCCATCATCATTTTCTAAACGTTTACTTTGTATTTGATAATCAGATCCAATATTTAAATTTTGTGAGTCTTGGCGCAGTCCATTTTGAAGTTTCCATTTGAATGATCAGTTTTGCCCCAGCAACTTAGCTGCCAGCTGGGCCATTTCCCCTCTAAAATGAGGAGAGTCTGACAAATGAGAGAGATGGATGGCCCTGGGGAAATGGCCTTGCCTACCTGACATTCTCCCCAGGCTGCACTGACAGGGAGAATAGCATGCAGCGATTTCTCAGGTTTGGGGAAGGCCTTGACTTCAAAGGAATTTCTATGGAATCCCTGCTCATTTGTCTTTTCCCTGCCATAATTTTAAGTCACTCTATTGTTGAGAACATGCACCACAAATGATACACCATTTCTCCACGTGCAATTCAGGGGCCTTTATTACAGTCTTTGCGTTGCGCCCCCATCCCCCTCACCCTCCTTTTCTAAGTCGTCCCTCCCTCATTACAATCTACTCACCGCCACCGATGGTTCCCATCTAACCTCTCAAGTTGCTGTTGTTGGTTTGATCCCACATGGATCGTTCTTAAAAGAGCTAAATTAGCGGTTGACATTTTAAAGATAATTCAGGACTTTTCCATCCTCCATGATTGCATGGCAGAGTCAGAGCTGTTCTTTTGTCTCCTGTGTTGTAAAGATGTCTATCACACAGCTTTTGCTAGTTCAGCTTTTTACAGGGTACACTTATTGACAGCAATTACCATCATTGGCTGTGCGATCCTATCCTACCCATTTGTCCTTGGACTCACGTTTGATTTAGATTGTAGATCGCCGTCCCTTCTGTGTGGCTAAGAGGAAGGGGAGCTGTGGGTTTTCCAGGCAGAACCTAACTTTAATGCGTGTGTGGACGGGACCCGCGTGACTCTTCCTTTGCTTTATGACGCCATGTGATGTTTGACAACACAGATTCAGACTGGAGTTAGTGCATGTGAGGAAACAAAGGAAGGCAGCTTCTCTGGCTCTCCTGCAGGGGTGAGAGCCGAATCATCATCTGCTGCAAGAGTATCGCTTGCGAGGCACAAGACTGTGCGTGACAGAGTACACGGGCAGTTGAGGAGGTCAAGTGGGTGAGAAAGAAGGGTAGTTTTGATCCTGCAGATCCAGAGGAGAGAATGGCTTTGATTTTGTTTGTAGTCTTCCAGGCTAATCCAGGATGGGGATTACGAGTCTAAATTCCTTCCTTAACTCTGGAATCAATGAAATATTTCTCACATGTGCTGATTAATCTCTTTATTACTGCTGAAATAAGTAAAGTTGTGCCATTACTAGTTAGCAAGTTAGCCAACTTCTCTTAAAAAAAAAAAAGTTGAAGAATCAGCCTCTTAAATGCCCCAAAGTGACTCCGCATGTATTGACAAAGGCCCCTTACTGAATTCAACAGCAATTCCAACAACAACGTGGCCTTCTTGCTCCATTGCTACTGACAGAAAAGCAGGACTGAGCTGGAATATGGCCCTATGAACAGACTGAAGTGCCTGGTGGGCAGCTGGTGGCTGTTCATGGTCCCCGGATGGGGAAGACCTCTCCGGCAAGGACAGGTGATTGGCCGTCAGCTCACCACCAGCAGCTCATCACCTGGAGTGGAGACTAAGTACAGGCCTGTTCTCCCAAAGCAAGAAGTTAGGATTCTTCTAGGGGGGAAATACCCTGCTCCCCACATACTTTGTAGAGACCACTTTATTAAGCCTTAAACAGGATAAAGATAAGACAAAGACAAATCATCCAGAGAAGGGGAATCCTCAGCATGAAGCCATCTCACTACCATCAAGGCCCAATGGGATGGAGTGAACTGCTCCCTAAGGTTTCAGAGACTATACATCTTTATGGGAGTAGACTGCCTCATCTGTGTCCTGCAGAGCAGCTTGTGGTTTTGAACTGCTGACCCACTATGCCCCAGGGCTCCTGTATGAGGCCGTAGTGGTGTCTGAAGGATTGACAGTCATTCTAGATGATGGAAAGGAGATCATCACAAGAACACGACTGACATCCTATGATGTTCACTGTTACAGGCGGACTGCAGAGCATGGAAAGGACCACGCTTGGGATGTATACACAATGAAGACTTAACAGCCCTTCAAGATTCGTCCTGGGGCCCCTAGTTTTGTGAAAGGTGAAAACTTCTAGGACCTTAACTTACACAGAAAGAATACCTTGCTGGTCCCACCAGCAGTGAAATCAACGACACTCTTGGCAAGAGAGAACCCTAACCCATCACCACTGCTCCCAACAAGGATCAAACAAACTCTTGTGAGAGAGAAAGAGGAAGAGGAAATATAACAACGAGCTATTTAGTAGGCCAGAGTTTAGCATGTGCAAGTTCTCTTGAAATTTATCAATCTATAGCCACACCACACACGCAGAGAGCGGCTAAAACACAATCTTGAGCCAAGAGCTGCGTCTGAGCATCTCATTTCAGCTTCTTACAAGTTTGCCTGCTTCTTGCCCCCCCGGATCATTTAAGAGACCATCAAAGGCAGTGTCTACCTCTGCCTGGAGACAACATTTTTAACAGTTCTCAAATGCCAAACAAAGCAAAACAAAACAAGCAGGAAGACTTTATAAGGGCCTGGGACAGCCACCGCAACACAGTGCTCTGCTTGTTCTCACAATAGGGCATTTCAGTTCAAAGGAGTATTCAATTCCTTTCATCTGTAACAAGAGGAACCCTAGCGGCCAGTGGGTTACACGTTGGGCTGCTAACCACAGGTCAGCAGTTTGAAACTACGAGCTTCTCCAAGAGTGAAAGGTAAGGCTTTCTACGCCAGTAAAAATGTAAAGTCTCAGAAGCCCATCGGGGCAGCTCTCCTCTGTTCTATAAGGCCGCTATGAATGGGAATCAGCTTGGTGGTAGAGAGCTTAGGGCTTGAGCATCTGCGTAACAGGTGTGTTTAAGGTAAAGTCTGGCTCACTTAGTGGGGTTTTCAAGCCGGATCCATGCTCCACGTGAGAGCCCAGCTTTTCACTTTGCTGGTTATTGGCCCAAATCACTCAAAAAGAGGCTAAATATCTATCAGGGCTAAAGATAGAGTTAGGGCTTCCGATGTAAACTGTGAGTGTCCACAACCAGAAGCATTGAAATGTAAGCTCTCACACAGGGTAGAGCAGGGCTTAATCCTTTCAGGGGTGGGGATTGTCGGCCAGTGGGGTGTATAAAACCAAAACCAAACTCATTGCCATCAGGTTGACACCAACTTACGGTGACCCTCTGTGACAGGGTGGAACTTCCCCCTGTGAACTTCTGATTCTGTAGCTATTTGCAGGAGTAAAATATGGGTTTTTCTCCTGAGGAGCGGTTGGTGGTTTCCAACTGTGGACCTTGCAGAGACTGCAGACCAATGTGTAACTGCTACACCACAGGGGCTCCTCCATGTGGTGGATAAGGCCCTCAAAACCACTAATGCCAGCTAACACCGTGACACCAGGCGCCTCGCTAGAGAGAAGCCGTTCCAGCCATCACACTGGGTGAGATGACTAGATGTGTGACCGGTATGTCCCATGAATGATATAACTATCCCAAATGGCTGTTGGCAGAAAAAAGGTTCCCCACCCCTGTTTAGGAGCTTCCTCAATAATCTGTCAATCCCATGAGCTGACTGTCAGAGCCCATAAGGACAGTTATACAGAGAATTGGCCTTAGCAGGTCTTTCATCAAAGTAGTAACTCCATTGTCCACCAGGTATTCTATACTGTTTCAGATTAGCGATCTGAATGGGTTCAGGCAATTATAATGGTTCCCATTTAGCATGTCCAATCAATGCCAATCTAAGGGCAGACTTCCAATTAAACATAACATCCATACCAATAATACATTCAGATAAGGGAGAGGCAACTACTTTGTACAAGATCTGTTTAAAGCTTCCCATTCCGCTCCAACCTTTCACCTTCATCCCATTAACGACTGTATCTCCATATCCCCCAAGTCTAACCTTTAGCCCCTGTAATATCTTACTGGTAGGTTGTGGGATTACAGTGCATTGGGCCCCAGTGTCTAGGAGCCCCAAGGTCTCTTCCCAGCCTCAGGCCATTTTACCCACACATCTGCTGATGGCCTCAGGTTGCCTGCTGGGAGCTGGACCAGACACCCTGGCCCCCTCCCCAATCCGTATCTTCATCAACTACATGAGTCTCTGCTTTATAGTCCGAGGTGGGAATTCCCATCATTAACGATCTCCCAGATTTATAGCATCCCTATAGGACAAGGTAAAACAGCACCTATGGGTTTCCAAGACTGTAACTCTTTATAGAAGTAGCTATCTAAAAGTCTCTTTCCTACTGGGATAAGTTCTTTCCCAATTGCCCCTTCTCATTCCCCTATTAATTATCCTTGTGTCTCGCACGTGTAAGACCCACTCAAGGAAGCCATACCAACAAATCTGACACTACTTCTCAGATGGCTGCTTCATTTCACGGGAGTACAGTCTCCTGGGGTGCCCATGTAGAAGGGGCTCCTGGGATTACCACAGCTGTCCGGACCTGTACGCGGAGCACACTCCTTGGACGAATATCCTGATCGACACAAGCCATTCTAGTTTTTTCCCCTGCTTCCTCTGCAGTGTTCCAGTGAGGGACTAGGGTAGTTTCCCTTCTCAGGGGAAGCACATCTTGCTGCAGATTTTATCCAGTCCACCAGCCTGGGTGAACCTGTTAGGTAGCTAGAGACAGGGGGTTTTCCCTCCCATGCCTGTACAGGCCCCCTAGATGAGGTTGGAAGGAAATCAGGCAAGCATTAGCCACCCATGAAGACCCCCAAACTG